CCTATTTTAAAGATGAGAAAATGGAGGTTTGGCCAACCTGTGGGAGATCCCCTCGGCTGTTCAAAGAGCTGAGCTGCAGCTGAACGGGATTTCAGGCCACCGGCCTTCCAAGTCCTTAGAGGGTTCAACTTGACCAAGAGAACAGGGATGGAGGGTGAAAGATCTTCAGAATCTTCACACAGAGAAGATAATGGCTTCTGCAAACAAATGTAAATCGGTTAATTTCCCTTTTTTACTGTGTTCATTGTGATGCACCAATTACAACCTGGCAAAAGAAAAACACTCACAAGCACTTGTGGTCTCTAAACTGCAATAAATTGGTAAATAAATTGGTAACTGCAATAGGCTCAAAGTCCTCTGAGGGTGAGGAAGGGCCCAGTTCCAGCCTGCCAATCTGGGGGCAGAAGCCAAGGATCACAAGCAATCTGTTCTTTCGCCAGTCTCTCCAGAGAGGCTCTGTACTGGTCTTGCCTTCACCCCCAGGCCATTTCTCAACCACTCCTCCACTATCTGGCTTCCACATTCTTCAGTTCTCTTCATTTGATACCCAGGTGCTAAATACATTTTTTTAATTGAAGTAAAGTTGATTTACAATATTGTGTTAGTTTCAGATGTACAGAAAGTAATTGTTATATATATTCCCTCAGATTATACTCCATTGTAGGTTATTGAATATGATTCCCTGAGCTGTAAACTGTTATTGCTACATATATTTTTCAATTTTTTTCAAAATTCTCCAAGCCAGACTTCAACAATACATGAACTGAGAACTTCCAGATGTTCAAACTGGATTTAGAAAAGGCAGAGGAACCAGAGATCAAATTGTCAACATCTGTTGGATCATAGAAAAAGCAAGAGAGTTCCAGGAAAACTTCTGCTTTCCTGACTACACCAAAGCCTTTGACTGTGTGGATCACAACAAACTGTGGAAAATTCTTATGAGAGTTGTACCATAAAGAAGGCTGAGCACCAAAGAATTGATGCTTTTGAACTGTGGTGTTGGAGAAGACTCTTGAGAGTCCCTTGGACATCAAGGAGATCAAACCAGTCAACCCTAAAGGAAATCAGTCCTGAATATTCACTGGAAGGACATATGCTGAAGCTGAAGCTTAAATACTTTGGCCACCTGATGAGAAGAGCTGACTCCTTAGAAAAGACCAGGATGTTGGGAAAGACTGAAGGCAGGAGGAGAAGGGGATGATAAGAGGATGAGATGATTGGATGGCATCACTGACTCAATGGACATGAGTTTGAGCAAGCTACAGGAGATGGTGAAGGACAGGGAAGCCTGGCATGCTGCAGTTCATGGGGTCGCAAAGAGTCGGACACCACTGAGCAACTGAACAACATGTATTTTATGTATAGTAGTGTCTATCTGTTAATCCTATACTCCTAATTTATTCCTCCCCCACCTTACTTTTTGGTAACCATAAATTTGTTTTCTACATCTGTGAGTCTGTTTCTGTTTTTTTTTTTTATTTAGATTTATTTGTATTATTTTTTTAGATTTCACATATAAATGACAACATGTGGCATTTGTCTTTCTCTTTCTGACTTCACTTCGTAGGACAATCTTTAGGTCCATCCATGTTGCTATAAATAGCATTATTTCATTCTTTTTTTATGGCTGAGTAATAGTCAACAGTTCATATATACCACATTTTCTTTATCCAGACATCTGCTGATGGACACATGCTGCTTTCATATCTTGGCTATTGTAAATAGTGCTGCTATGAACACTGGTATGCATGTATCTTTTTTAGTTTACAGTTTTCATTTTTTTCCAGATGTACACCTAGGAGTGAGATCACTGGATCATATGGAAACTTTATTTTTAGTTTTTTAAGGAACATCTATACTGTTTCCCATGTGGTGTGTGTATTAGTTGCTCTGTCGTATCTGATTGTTTTTGACTCTATGGACTGTAACCCACCAGGCTCCTCTGTCCATGGAGCTCTCCACGCAAGAATACTGGAGTGGGTAGCCATTTCCTTCTCCAGGAGATCTTCCTGACCCAGGGATCAAAACAGGATCTCCCTCACTGAGAGAAGATTCTTTGCCATCTGAACCACCTGAGAAGTTTTCCATAGTAGTTTCACCAATTTACATTCCCAACAACAGTGTAGGAAGGTTCCCTTTTCTCCACACCCTCTCCAGAATTTATTATTCATAGAGTTTTTGATGATGGCCATTCTGACCAATGTGAGGTGATACCTCATTGTGGTTTTGATTTCCATTTCTCTAAAAATTAGTGACACTGAGCATCTTTTCATGTGCCTATTGGTCATGTGTATATCATCTTTGGAGAAAGAAATGTCTATTTAGGTCTTTTGTCCATCTTTTAATCGGATTGTTTGTTTTTTGATATTGAGTATTTATGTATTTAAACATAAATACTCTTAATATGACTCAATAAAAAGATTACATTCATCAAAGGGGAGAGGGCATTTCTCCTCAAGATTCCCACCAATTATTCTCATCAGTTCATTCTCACCACTCCCATGGGGTGGGCACCACAACTCCCAGTTAAAGAAACTGTGTCTCAGGGTCCTGGGGGCTCCACCAAATGAAGCAGGGAGGACAGGCCAAGTCACCTGGTCAGGAGGTTGCCTCCAGTTCTCCTGGGTCCTCAGCCCCCACCACAGGCACACATACACACCCCTACCCGCCCCCCCATTTGTTTGCATTCTCCTCCTGGGCCATCTTGTCGCCTTAGTTTATGATTCCTGAACTAATGCAATCTGCCTGCTTACAGAAAAGGAGAAACTGAGGCCCAGAGAGGAACAGGGGCCTGACTCCATCACCAGCGATAAAGCCAAGCCAGGACACCCAGAGGAGGCGCCTGCCTGTAACTCTCCCACTTGCCTGGCTGTGTGTGCATCAGAAGCTGAGCAGGAGGTGGCACCCAGGGTCAAGTCTAGACACTGTTCCTGGGTCCCGGACTTGTGCCAGCACATAAGGAAGGGAGGGAAAGGCAGTGTTGTTGACCCCAGTGGGAAGTTGGCTCTAAAACTGCCATGGTGACCAGACTGTTGTCTGGGGCTATTTGTTCCAACAGGCATGGGAATTCTTATCATTCCAAGGCCCCATCTTCACACAGACCTGTCTGGACTGAGTCTATCCTGAGACAGAGCTGGGGTTGGGTGAGGGAAGCAGGAGGGAAGTAACGGGGATTACCCCCCACCTTATTTACACACAACAGGGTCACACTCATTCACTTATCAGCTGCACACACGACTCACCCCACCAATCTGCATTCCCCACAACCTCCCCTCCATCCAATGCTTAAGAGCTTTGAAGCCAGACTATCCTGTGTGGAAATCCAAGGTCGGTCATCACTTACTGTCACTTAACGTGGCTTCAGTTGTTTATTTGTAGAATGGGAATAACAGTACTTACGTCATAGGGTTATTGGTAAGAATAAATGAAATATTAGGAAACCACTTAGCACCATGCCTGGCATAGCTGCTATAGCTGTTACTGTTATTTTACCAACATACTCCTACAGCTAACTGGCATTCCCCCTTTCTCTATTGTACACACACACCTCCCCAGAGGCCCTCAGCCGGCTAACCCATGCTCATAGCCCTACTGCCCTCTGACCCTTCTACTCCAGGCAACCTGGGACTCTCAAGGCCTGGGTCCCAGCCATGTGTGCCCAGCATTCTTCCTGCCAAGGAGAATGCCCTCATCTCCACCTCTTCACAACTCTCACACCCCCTCCTTTCCTTCAAGTCCTAGCTCCAATCCCACTTCCTCCAGGATGCCTTCCCTGACTGACCTCTGATCTTCCTTCTTGGAACTACTCAGGTGCTGACTGAGTCACCTATTAGTACCGCCTTGGAATTTCTGAGTCTGTTAGTAAGAAAGCCTCTTCCTTCTTCCTCCCCACCATCTCTTAAAATCGGAAAAAGCATTTTCCAGGCAGATTTGAGGCACCCTGAATCAACCCCCTGATTCCTGTGTCACCCCCACATCCCAGCACCCGCTGTCACCCATCATACCTCTTCTGGAGCTGGGAACAGGGCAGGGCCTGGAGACTGCACAGGGCAGGCAGTTACCCAGACAGACGGATAGGATAGTCTATAGGCTTGGAGAGGTGGGAAGACCTCACCCAGTCACTGGGGTCCCAGGTTCTGCTAAGAGATAGGGGCATCAAGAGCTGAGACTCTCTGAAGCTCACCTGTAGGGGAACAGGGGTCGAGGTAGACCCTGCAGCTTGCAGGACAGCAGCCTGAGGAGGGTGGTCAGAGCTCAAATTCTACACCTTTCATGGGGAAGAAGGATGCAGACCTGTTCTGGGAGGCCCTGGAAGAGGCTCTGGAAACAAACCATGAGGGTGGAAGAAGCTGTGGGAAGTAGATCCCACCCAACACCCGGAAACTCTAGCCATTCTAAAAGCCCAGCAGCCATGGCAGCAGCTGAGTTCTCCACTGGAGGAGAGAATGGGTAGGCAAAGGCTGGTCAGTGCTGGTCAGGGTGGGCTAGGAGAAGGACCAGGATTCTTCTCAGATTCTCCCAGACTCTGGGAGTTAATATATATCTAAGGCTCAAAGTCAGCTAGTGATGTAAAGATCTGGAAACCTGGTTCTGAAATTCCATCTCTTTAAAATTCTGAAATGAAACACATGAAATTTAAAATGTTCTAGCAGTCATGTTTTAAAAACAAAAAAACAAAAAGATTCATTTTAGTAATACATTGTATTTTACCCAATATACCAATATATCCAAAATATTATCATTTTGACATGTAATTAATATGTTATTAATGAGATATTTAAAAGTCTTTCTTTTGTTACTAAGCCTTCAAAATCTGCTATGTATTTTAAATATACAGCTCATCTCAATTCAGACTAGTTACATTTCAAGGACTCAATAACCACAGGTGGCCAGTGGCTACAGTGTTGGGACAGCACAGTTTAGAAACCTACAATCTATGACTCACTTTTCTAAAATTCTGAAATGCTGTGCCTCTGAGATTCTAGAATTCTCCAGTATATTCAGGTTCTGTAACGCTTCAACTGTGATTCCACCAGATTAGCGTGTTGCCCCAAGTCTGCGTGTGGGTAAGGCTTCTCCCCACATGTCTTCCGTGTGGAAGAAATCCAGGCCCCTGCAGAGCCCCTGGGTGGGGGAAGAGAGAAGCGAGGATCCCTCTCCTCGGCCACCCCCACCATCTGGCCCAGCCGGAGGAAGCGGGGGTGGGCGGGCCTGTGCGCCCAGGGCCGCTGGCCTCTCCACATGGCGCTGCCTCTCCCACCATCCCTCCGGCTCGTCACCTCTCCATCCGCGCGCACAAGCCTGGCAGTGAGACTCCTGCCTCTGAGTCCTCCTGGGGAGGGGGCGTGCCCCTGCCTCCCCACCCTTGGTTTCCATCCACTCTGGAGAGCATTTGGGAGGCTGCTGTAAGCAGATGGGGTTGGGGATTGCGGTTCAGATCCCAGCTGGAAGGCCCTGAGGGTGGAACTGGTCTCCATCTGTTCGAGGCTAGGGCCTGGAGGTCTGAGGATGGCAGAAGTCGGAGACCCACCCACTGTACATCAGAAGGCTCTGTGAGGTCCTGTGATATATGCTTGAACAATGCAGGTGGGGAAACTGAGGCCCACCAGGCATAAGGTAAGTGTGGTGATCTGCCAGAAGGTGGCCTCCTGCTTAGCCACAGGCCTCCTCTTCCTGCCCTCCCTGCCCCACCTCTGCCCGTGGGAAAGTCAAGGTGCAAACCCAGCACGGCAGGGTGTCAGTGAGGCTGCTGGAAGGCCCACGGGGGGTTGCAGGAAAGTGGGTGACCCCTTGGCTTGGGGATGCTTATGCCAGGCCCAGGCTTTCCTGGTTCCAGCCAGGCTCTTCCCAGGCTCCGCCTGCTCCAGGTTCTACAGGGGATCTGGGGAATGGGGGCTTGGGCACAGACAGAGTCTGGGTGAGACAGAAGTTGGACCTGGCGGGGGAGGGTCTCTGTCAACAGCCATCAGCTTCTGCATCAGCTAGCATCCAGTTCTGTCCTCTGTTTCAAAGTCCTTTTGTAGCCACAGTCTCCTTTATCCTCACAAAAGCCCAAGAGGAAAGGTGGGCGGGAGAACTTGCCATCAGCCTGTCAACTCCCAGCACAAAGGCCATGCAGAGGGCCTGGTGCGGCAGCTTTGTTACTGTTTCACTTTTCACAGGTGGGGAAACTGAGGCCCGGAGAGGGGCTGGGACCTGTTTCAGGCTACAGAGCCAGAGGGGAGTCACTGGCTCAGCACCCATTCAGGGAGCACCCCGCACCACGACCTGGCCCCTGGTCCTGCTCCACTCCCAGGCTCTCAGATGCTCTGCAACTAAGGAGATCAGGAGTTACCCACAGCCACATTTTCCAGGCTGGGCTGCTTCCAGGCTGGGTTTCCCCTCTGGGGAAAGCCCCAAGGTTGTTCTACATGGTCAGGAGAACCAGGGAGGAAATGACAAAAATCCTGCTGGAGAGGGCTGCAGAAAACAGCCCAACCTTTGGCCTCCAGGGAGTGGGGGTGGCCTCTGGCTCTGCCAAAGTGGGGGTGCAGATGCGGCGGTCAAAGGGTGCTGCAGGGAGGCAGCCCTGGAACCTTGATTTGGAAAGGCATTGGCTTTGGACTGAGGTGGGCCAGGGTTGGGTTCCATTACTGCTAGTTAGTCAGTAACTGTGTGGTCTTGTGTCCGTGACTTCCCCTGGGCTCCCTGCTCTGTGAACTGGCTGACATCCAGCTCCAGGGCAGTGGGCGTCTGAGCATACATAAACTAAGCCCACAGTTAGTTCTTGCTCAAATGCCCCGTCCAAGAACTGATCTGTTTTGGGGTCCCCCATCACTTTGCTGCCACAAAAACGCTCTATAAATGCTTCTTGAATAAACGAATGAATGACTGTTGCCAGCCAAGAATAGAGCAAAATATAGGGGAAGGCTGGACTTCCCTGTTGGTTCAGTGGTTAAGAATCCACCTGTCAATGCAGGGGACACAGGTTTGATCCCTGGTCGGGGGAGATTCCACATGCCTCGAGGAAACTAAGTCCATGCGCCACAACTTTAGTGGCCGTGAAGGCCACGCGCTCTAGAGTCTGTGCATCTACAGCCTGTGCTCCAAGAGAAGCCACTGCGACAACAGTAGCCCCCACTCACAACTAGAGAACTAGAGAAAGCCCGTGCACAACAAGAAGAGCTAGCACATCCAAAAAATAAAAACAAAATGGGGAAGGCGCCAAACTAGTCCATCCAGAGGTCTGATTTCTGTCGTGGCTCACAGCATGGCCTCGTTTTTTTAAAGCCCATAATAATAACTAGCCTTTCCAAAGCACTCACTATGTGTCAGGCTTTGTTAAGAACCTTAGGGCACTGAGTTCTCCCAGTAACACTCCGAGAAGGCGTGACTATTGCCCCCATGTTCCCAATGAGGAACCTGAGGCACAGAGAGGCTCAGTGACCCTGTGGTCACACTGCTGGTTCACGCCCATGGGGTCTTCACTCGCGGGTGGCCGAGGACCCTGTAGCTCTCCCTTCCTGTCTCCTCTGGCCAGGACTCCTATCAGGAGGGGCTCCCCTTCCCGGGCTGGTGTTGGGTGCTGCTCAGGGCTTCCCATGGGTTCTGGAGGCTCCCCAAAACCAGCCTTCGGTGATGAACGTGGGAGATGAACTCGGGGCTCTACCCACTCCAAGACTGTCGCCTGGGCCCTTAGTCAGAGACTGATTCTCACAGCTTTCTGGCTGTTTCCTGCCCAGAGGGAGGCAGGAAGCCAGACCGCCGGGACTGGGGCTCCAGCTCCTGTGTTTGTCTTTAGTTCACCCCCCCACCCCCCACCCCCANCCCAGCTGTGGACCTTCCTCCTCCTTGCCCAACTTCAGACCCTGACCTTGAGGGTCACTCCCGGGCAGACTTTCTAGCGTGAGGACAACCACCCTCGGGGCCAGGAATCCAGGGACTGGGTTCCATGCACTGCCAAGAACTGGGTGAGGTGTGGGGAGGGGGGACACTTTTCTCTCCGAGGAGGGGGCGTATTTGGAGAAAATCTGCCCCTAGATGGGGGAGGTGGGGGTCGGGAATGTGCCAACAAGTCACACGGGCACATCAGTTCTCAAACAAGCTCTGCAGTGAATGTGTGGGATCGTCCTGACCACCCTGCTGAGAGATGAGTTAGCTTGTTATCACCCCAATTTTAACACAAGACGAAGCTGAGGACCAGGAGGATTCAGAGACTTGTTCATGATTATGCAGACATTTGGGGGCAGAAGCAAATCTTTACTCAAGTCTCCAGAGACTGTATGGGTATAAAAACTATTATTATTATTACAAATATTTACCAAGCTCTGACTCTGCCAAAAGCTTCCCTTTCATTACCACATTGAATCATCTCAGAAATTCTAAGTAGCGATCCCCATTTTACAGAAGAGGAAACTGAGGACTGGAGAAGCAAATCACCTGCCGAAATCTAGTTATCTGCATCCACGCATCCACTTGTGAAGGTGTGAAGGTGGTTTGAACTCAAATCTTTCTGGCTCCAAAGTCTCAGGTCTCACAGGGAAGACAGGGCCGCTCCAGCTGGGGTAGAGGAGTCACCTTATTTCCCAAAACAGGGCCTGGAAGAATCCTGGCCACACCAACCCTGTTTACAGTGCTGGTTTGGGCTTGGTGGACACAGCCCCTGGAGCCTCTCTGGCAACGGCTCTGAGAAATGTAGCAGGCGTTGCAGGATTCGGGGGCACATCAGGGCCATGTCTGTGTGCGAGTAGTGTTCCTGGCCATGCCTATGTGGCCTGGTGACAGCCTCACAGGTAAGCTCACACAGGTGTGCACCCAAATTCCTCCATTCATTCATTCATTCACCAAACACCAGCCCACCAGCCTTCATATTTCTATACACATTTACTTTTTTTTTTTAGACTGTCACTTCTTTTGCTGACCTCCCCAAGCAGGGACAGCTACATAACTGATGAGGCCCAGGACAAAATGCAAAGGCAGAAGAACCCCTTGCTTAAAAATGAAGAATCCCAATGGGACTTCCCTGGTGGTCCAGTGGTTAGGAATCTACCTTCCAATGCAAAGGACCCAGGCTTGATCCCTTGTCAGAGACCTAAGGTCCCACATGCTGCAGGGCAATTAAGTCCCCATGCCACAACTACTGAGACTCTGAGCACTCCGGAGCCCGTGAGCCACAGTGAAAGATTCCGCCTGCCGCAGTTAAGACCCGATGAAGCCAAATAAGTAAATAAAATTAAAAATTCCAACACAGGGACAGCAGGACATTCAGTGAGGCGCAAGGCCCAGGGGAGTGCACAGGGGCCCGCACCTGTGGGCCCACCCACCCCAGCGCACCTCAGCCTCGCTCTCTGGACCCCACCTCACCTCATCCTCATCCTCCTTTCACATTCTCACAAGGTCCACTATCTTCACCTCAGGCTTTTGCAAAGGCTGTTCTCCCTGCCCTGAACACTTTTCTCAATGATTCTCTCATGAGGTCCTTCTCACTGTTCAGCTTTCAGCTGGAATGCCACCTCCTCAGAGGGTATGCCTCCCTCATACCCCAGCCTCACGGGGCCCCCCACCCTTAGCTCTCCATCATAGCTGCTGCTTATCCCTTCCTAGCGGGCATCTGTCTGCGCCCTAAGTGTAATTTGTCAGCTTTCTGTTTACTACCCAGCCTCCCCGGAGATCCCCAGGGCGGCGCCGTGTGGTCCTGTCCAGCGCTGAGTTTTAAGGGCCCAGTCCAGTGCTTGGGCCATAGCAGACATTCAACAGCTATTTGGAAAACCGTGAGTGAATAAGTGAATGGACACAGACACCCTTCCACCCCATCTCCCCACTACATTGCCTCTCACTCTGCCTCTGCACCCCGGAGAAGCACAGGGGTGCTCCCTGAATGCCCTGGTGCTCCAGATATCCCAACACAGAGAGCTGAGAGACAGAGAAGGGCAGGCGGATCCTGAGGCCTTGAGATGAAGACAGACAGAAGAGGCAAGGCCCAGAGGGAGGGAGGAGAGGGGAAGAGGAGGAAAAGTGGAAAGAGAAAGGATTTGGAGCCAGAGGAAGGACAGAGGAGGCACACAAAGAGGGGAGAATGAGTTGGTTGGGCTGGCTGATAATCCCGTTTCTCCTCTTTATTTGCGAAACTAATAATTACTATTAATACCTGGCCCCTCCCTGGCCCTTTCATCCAGGCTGGTGGGGAAATTTCAAAGATGAAAGTCTGGGGAAAGGGGGATGGTGCTCTCAGAGGCAGATCCCAGGGCTGCACAAGCACTAATTAAACTTGGCAGCCCCTTTCAGGTGGGAGCACTCCCTGGGCCTGGCCCACCTCCCCTCCTCTGCAGGAGGCTCACTAACTGCAGCAGGGAGTGGGGTGGTCAGCAGAGACAGTCGTGGGGGAGATGCCAGAAAGAGGAACCTCACACCAGGTGGCACTGAAACCCAGGAGCCCGGCCCCCAGCTGAAATTACAGCCCCATCCCAGAGGCCGCCCTTCCCCCAGCCCTGGACTAGGGTCTGTGTCCCCGGGGCCATCTGCCAGATGGTGGTGGGGGAAGTGCTACTGGGAAGGAAGGTCTCACCAGACAAAGAGGCAGAGTCAGCAAGTCCGGCTCCTCCACGCGGCCCCAGGGCCACCTGAGTCCTGGTCTTTCACATCCTCAGGGGCCATTTCGTTGCATGGCCCTCACAGAGGCCGCCCGTCTCCACCAGCCATCAATACATCCAGCAGGCTCCCCGTCACACCTGCAGCCATGGGGCCCTCCTCACAGTCTCCCATTATTGAGCTGCCTGGACTTTGGGCTGAGTGAGTTCATCCAGTCCCTTAACATTAAGTTCAATCTAGGGACTTCCTTGGTAGTCCAGTGTTTAAGATTCCATGCTCCCAAAGCAGGGCTGCTGCTGCTAAGTTGCTTCAGTTGTGTCCGACTCTGCGTGACCCCATAGACGGCAGCCCACGAGGCTCCCCCGTCCCTGGGATTCTCCAGGCAAGAACACTGGAGTGGGTTGCCATTTCCTTCTCCAATGCATGAAAATGAAAAGTGAAAACAAAGTCGCTCAGTCGTGTCCGACTCTTAGTGACCCCATGGACTGCAGCCTACCAGGCACCTCCGTCCATGGGATTTTCCAGGCAAGAGTACTGGAGTGGGGTGCCATTGCCACCCAGGTTCAATTCCTGGTCAGGGAACTAGATTCCAACATGCTGCAACTAAGAGTTCGTACCCTGCAACAAAGATAGATATCCCAAGCACCGCAACTAAGACTTGGTACAGCCAAATAAATAAATAAATATTAAAAAAATAATAAGTAGTTAGTACAACCTACAGACTCCTGACTGATTCACTGGAAAAGACTCTGATGCTGGGAAAGACTGAAGGCAGGAGGAGGAGAAGGGGGTGACAGGATGAGATGGTTGGATGGCATCACTGACTCAAGGGACATGACTTTGAGCAAACTCCTGCAGACAGTAAAGAACAGGGAAGCCTGAAGTGCTGCAGTCCATGGGGTCACAAAGAGTCGGATGCTATTTAGCAACTGAACAATGAACAACAGAGGCTCGGGAAATTATTTCAGCGGCCTCGACCTTTCCAACAAGCCCCAACTGTCTGCCCCTTCTTGCTACCAGGATTTGACATGGGTGGCTTCAAAAATAACAGAGTCTGACCTTGTTTCCCATCCTCCACCCAGCTCACGCCGTCCGCAGGCTTTCCCACCTTGGGAAATGGCCCCAATGTCCACCTGTTGCTCATGCTTGGAACCTGGAATCATCCTCGCCCCTGCATGCAATCCATCTGAAAACCCTGCTGATTCTACTTCCAAACTACCTCTCAAACCTAGGCACTGTCCCCCACCTTCACAGCTGCCAGCGTGCTCCGAGCCACCATCGTCTCTCACCTGTGTGGTCATCTTCACCCGAATCTCTAAACAAAACCAGAGTGGACTTTGAAACGCAAATCACAACGGTCAAGCCCTGCTTAAAGCTCCTCTCCTTCTTAGGGTATGTAGATGATAGTACACACCCCTCACCAGGGTCCGTCAGTCACCCTCTACCCCCACCCTCCAACTCCACCCCAGGGATGACCTCACCTCCCTCCCCTCTCCCCGCCAGCCCCCCATCTCCGAGCAGTCCCTCAGCACTTCCCTGCCTTGGCAGCTTTTGCATGAGCCGATGCCTCTGCCTGAACACCGTTTATCCTGCCCACCTCCCGGCTGCACCTTCTCACCCTGAGTCCCGTCACTGCCTTTCTAAGACTGAGCCCCTTTACCGCCCCCCCCCCCAACCTTGGGTATGCTTGTCAGCTGGCTAACTTGGATGATGTCTGGCTGTCTCCCTGACAGCCTTCATGTCTGTTACCAGTGGCTTTATCGCTCACCAATGCCTAGCATGATGCCTGGAACACAACAGTAGGTGCTCAACAAATATGCTAAATGGATAAATGCCCAGGATCCGTATCCTGGTACCACCAACCCATTGGGCTCTGTTCTTCCATTCAGAGTGACACAGAGCAAGTCCTTCACGAGTGGGTCCTGCCATGTGGCCCGGATCTGTCCTAGAACACCTGGTGGCAATCTCTATTTACTCCACTTTGAACCAGCTGAGTGACCTTGGGCACAGCCCCAACCTTCTGCTGTCTCAGCGTCCCACTTTGGAAAACTAATAGTCTGAGTTCCTGGGGTGTGACGAGGCCCTAAGGGAGAATGTACACCAAAGCCGAATCACAGCCATGTCCCAAGTAGATGTCCTGACAAAAGTGAAGATTTACACACACGCTGACTTACATTTACACTCAACCAACCTTGGGGCTTGGAAATTACAAAGCAGCGCCCCTCCTCACTCCAGTGTACCAGCCTCAGCCAAAACCTGTCTGTCCCCCAGAGGCCTGGTGATCAGGCGCCATCTACTGGACACCCAGGGGAGAAACAGCATTCCAGCCCTCTGCAGTCCTCAGGGTGGGTGGGGCAGCTCCCTGGGACCCCACCCTGGCCATCTTCACCCAGCAGAAATAGCTAGGCCTAGAAGTGGAGGTGGCTCAGAGGTTAAAGCGTCTGCCCGCAATGCGGGAGACCTGGGTTTGATCCCTGGGTCAGGAAGATCCCCTGGAGAAGGAACTGGCAACCCACTCCAGTATTCTTGCCTGGAGAATCTCATGGACAGAGAAGCCGGGTGGGCTACAGCCCACGGGGTCACAAAGAGTCGGACACGACTGAGTGACTTCACTTCACTTTCACTTTTCTAGGAGTGGAGGTGGAGAAGGAAATAGCAACCCACTACAGTATTCTTGCCTAGAGAATCCTGTGGACAGAGGAGCCTGGTGGGCTGCTGTCCATAGGGTTGCACAGAGTCAGACACGACTGAAGCGACTTAGCATGCATGCATGCATTGGAGAAGAAAATGGCAACCCACTCCAGTGTTCTTGCCTGGAGAATCCCAGGGACAGAGGACCCTGGTGGGCTGCCGTCTATGGGGTCGCACAGAGTTGGACACGACTGAAGCGACTTGGCAGCAGCAGCAGCAGCAGCAGTGGAGGAGCTGCTCATTGCCCATCAAGGCCCTCAGCCTCTCCCCAACAGCACAGAGGCCTAACGCTGAACCCGAGGGCCCACCTCCCCAGACTTCAAGCTTCCCACAGCCTGGAGCTCTCCCCACCCTCTTCTCTCTGTCTTGGCTGACCCTTGCTCCTACTCTGCACCCCCACTCTAGACACCTGCCTAGAGGCCCCTGACCAAGCCAGAGCTGCCCCCGGGGACCCATAGGCCCCCTCACCGCCTGTTGCTAAACCTGATCCACACACTGTAGTTTCTGGCCCTTATTCATCCTTTGTTGTTACTGTTCAGTGGCTTAGTCATGTCCGACTCTTTGTGACCCCATGGACTGCAGCACGCCAGGCTTCCCTGTCCATCACCAACTCCTGGAGCTTACTCAAACTTACGTCCACTGAGTTAGTGATGCCATCCAACCATCTTGTCCTCTGTCGTCCACTTCTCTTCCTGCCTTCAATCTTTCCTAGCATCATGGTATTTTCAAATGAGTCAGTTCTTCACATCAGGTGGTCAAACTATTGGAGCTTCAGCTTCAGCATCAGTCCTTCCAATGAATATTCAGGACTGATTTCCTTTAGGATTGACTGGTTTGATCTCCTTGCTGCCCAAAGGACTCTCAAGAGAATTCGCCAACACCATAGCTCAAAAGCATCAGTCCTTCGGTGCTCAGCCTTCTTTATGGTCCAACTCTCACATCCATAGTTCTTCTTAGACAAAGACATTTTTTTAGCTTTTTGTTTTGTACAATTTTTTTTCTGCTCTGCGGTAATCTTAATTCTCTGACTAGGGATCGAACCAGTGCCCCCTGCACTGGAATCACAGAGTCCTAACCAATGGACCACCTGGGAAGTCCTAGACAAAGACAAAGACAGCAGACCCTGTAACTCTCCCCTCTGTATGCTAAGTACTGAGAGAGTTCAGACTCCCGGTGAGTTCTGTAAAAATCCAAAGCAGGTGGGTCACAACCAATGGATGATGGAAACAGAGGGTTTCCAGGAAGGATTCAGGCTGCTGCTTCAGGCTGGGCCCCATCTTCGAGCCCCAGCTCCCAATGAGCTGCAGTTACTCTTTGACGTCTGGCGATGTTTCTCTGGTGAGCTAACTCTCCCTCTCTGGGCCATAGCTTCCTCTCTCCACTCTCCCCCTTGCTCCCTCCTGCAGAACTTCCTTGCAAAGAATGAAGCCCACGGGCAAATTAAAATATGCTCTATTGCTCAGAAAGGGAAACATGGGGGCCTTCCAGGGTGTGCTTCAGGGTGCAGGAATGGGTTTGGATTTCTCAAGGTCAACTCCCTGTTCTTCCTACATCCACTCAACAAATACCTTTAAAAAATAAAAAGCCTGGATCCAAGATTAAAAGTATTGGGGCTCTGGAGTCAGACTGTCTGGGCTCCAATCCCAGCATTACTGTTGATGGCTGTTGGCTGCTAACTCATTTTCTTAGCTGTAAAATGAGGGGATAAAAATTTCTACTTCATAGAGTTGAGAGGATTCAATGAGAATATACATGCAAGTCACTGAGCATGGGCTCTGACTGTAGTATGTGTTTGATGGAAGGTCTTGGTGCTACTGTTATTCATGGAACAACTGCGCGCTGGGTCGCTGATCTCACGTGACCTCTCTCCTGCCCCCAGCCCCCAGGGCCTCCCTCGGCCCCAGCACTCTGGTCCCCACGGGCCCTAGGCAGCCCCTGCCCAGCCCTCGTCGACAGAACACCTGCGGCAGAACCTCCTCTACCTGGTCCTTTCTCTGAAAGCTCTCGTCTTGCCCCAGGATGCCTGCTCTCCTCTGAGGATGCTGTGTTCCCTTGCAGGCCTCCGAGTGGCTTTCTCTTCCATAGCCCGGGGACAGGAGAGAAAAGGGAAGAGGGGAGGGAGAAAGCACAGGCTGTTCTCCCTGCTCCTCACTGTCCCTTTCAGGCTGTTCTCTGTCGCTCCTCCCTAAAGGATGCCTGTCTCGTTTGAATCCTGTCTCGCATCGCAGCACCCAGGCACATACATCTACCAGCCTCTGGGCCACAGCCTGGCTTGCCCCTGGCCGCGGTATCACTCTCAACCAGTTTGCTCCTATTGTAGCTCCTGGTTATTCCAATATTCACAGGGACACTGCTGCCGTCACCCTGGCCTCTGGTCCCTTGACCTGTCCCTAAGGATTTGTCCCCCCTGCCCCAATGTCAACCACTCACCACCAAGGTCTGAAACTCTGCCCCAAACCATTATCTCAATCTCAAGCCCCCCACAGCCCCATCCTTGACCTCCATCTCAAAGTATCAGCTGGTACCTGGACTTCAGCCCTCCCTTGCCCCAGTGGGCCCTCGAATCCATGGTTCCCACCGTCTTTCTGCTGTCCCTCACCCCTGATGCTCTCTCTACCCCAGTTACCCAGCTTTAGCACCTGCTCAGTGGCAATCACGGTTCTTACACATTCACCTTCTAACCCCCTGTTCCTCTCTCAAGTTGTCTTCTCTTGGCAAAACTGCAACTCCAGTTAAATCCAACCCTCTGCTGACCCTATGCCTACATCCATGCAGCTGAACATGGCTGAGAAAACGTCGAGCAGACCCTCAGCACTGCCCGGAATCACCCTCTCTTCCCCTTAGCTCTTGGTGAAGTTTCAAACCTTCTCTCACCTCCAAACTTCAGTATTCACCCACCCCCAGCCTTACAGCTGTTCTCGCCCCACTTCCCTGACTAGAAGGTTCTCAGGCTCCACTCCCACGTGCTCACCCTCCAGCCCCTCCCTTCTCCCCATTTGCACAGATCTGCTATCCACGCTCCTCTCTAAAGCTGCTGCCTCCATCTGTGCACGAGAGTCGGTCACCTCTTCCTACTCAAGGACACAGTTCCATCAGCTTCTTCCACTCTCTACTAGACCATTCCCACTGGCACACAAATATCTGTTACTGATATTTTTCTGTTTTATTAAAGTAGGAAGAAGAAAAAGAACTTGATCCTGCTTGTTCATTCTGCCCTTCGGCACACCTTCACAGTAAAACTTAAGCACCGTCTGTCCCTCCGTCTCTTTCTTTCTTCAACTGACTCCATTCAAGCTTTTGCACTCCCCTCCCCTGCCCCTGCCACACATACCCTGACCTCCCACCAAGGTCCCCAGTGGCCTCTGAGCTGTTGCGTCAGTGGTCATTCTTGGTCCACGTCTCCCTCGACCTCTCTTCACATGGACACAGCCACCTGCCCCCTCCTCCGGGCCTCGCTTTCCTCTCCCGGCCCCCTGGGCATCCCCTGGCTTGGTTTTCCTCCCTTCTCACAGCTCCCTGCGGCTTTCCTCCTCGGCGCTCTCCCCCTCAGCCCCCTGCTTTGAGGCTCAGTCCCTGGGCCCTCCTCTACCTACACTCAGCTCCTGAGTGGTCCCAAACGGTCTCATAATTTTAAATGTCGTCAAGATGCAGAGGATTCCCAAACGTGCACCTCCAGCTGAAAGCCTTGCCTCAATTCCAGACTCATCTACCCCCCAAAACTTTCTTGACATCCCCACTTAAGAAAAATAACAAGCATCTCAAACTCAGGCCTAAGACTTAACACCTAATCTTCCTCCCAAAATTTACTCCACCCTCAGCCTCCCCAGGACTTCCCAGGTGGCGCAGTGGTAAAGAATCCACCTTGTCAATGCAGGAGACGCAAGAGACATGGATTTGATCCCTGGGTCAGGAAGATCCACTGCAGAAGGAAATAGCAACCTGCTCCAGCATTCTTGCCTGGAAAATCCCATGGGTGGAGGAGTCTGGTGGGCTACACTCTATGGGGTCGCAAAGAGTTGGACACGACTGAGCCACAGAGCATGTGTGCATGCAGCCCCCCTACCCCAGCTGATGGCGACTCTGTCCTTCCAACTCCTCCAGCCTTAAACGCTGGAGGCAGCTCTGCCAGCCCTTTCTCTCACGGCCCGGGTTTCATCTACCAGGGAATCCTGTTGGATCTCCTTCCAAAATATAACCAAATTTTGAGCACTTCCTTCGACCTCAACTAATGCCACCTTGGTCTCACCAACCAGTCATCTTTCACCTCTTAACCGTGACCCCTGCTTCCACCGTAGTCCCTCACACCACCCCCACTAAGAGACTAGCCTCCACAGAGCATCCGTGCTGATCCTATTAAAACATGAGTCACATTCCATCACTTCTCTGCCCAAAACCCTCCAAAGCTTTTACTCAGAGCAAAAGCCAAAATACTTACAATGACCTAAAGGCCTATATAATCTGCCCTTGCCACACATTCTCTTTTCTTTTTCTAAATTTTTTTTTTTTTTTGGCTGTGCTGGGTCTTCGTAGCTGTGCAGGGGCTTTCTCTAGTTGTGGTGAGTGGGGCTTCGTTGAGGTGTGGGAGTTTCTCATTTCAGTGACTTCTCATTGCAAAAGCACAGGTTCTAGGCGTGAGGGCCTCAGTAGTTGCAGCTTGTGGACGCAGCAGTTGTGGCGCAAGGGCTTTGTCACCCCGTGGCGTGTGAAATCTTCCCAGACCAGGGGACCCACGTCCCCCGCATCGGCAGGTGGATTCTTACCCACTGGACCGCCTGGGATGTCCCACCACATTTTTTTCTCATCATTACATTGTTACATCTCCACATTCACTCACTCACTCTAAATTCGGCCACACTGGCCTCCTTGCTCCTCCTTGAATATGTCAGTGGTGCTTCCACCTCTGCGCCTTTGTACACGCTGTTTCCCTCTGCGAGTAATGATCTTCCCTTAGTTTACTGATGGTAAAGGGAAGGCTTGCCCCCGTCCTCCTTCATGCCTCTGCTCAAATCTCTCAAAGAGGCTACTCTGCCCTCTCTCTTTTTTTTAATATTTTTAAAATTAATTTACTTATTCGGCTGTGCCAGGTCTTAGTCACGGCATGTGGGATCTAGTTCCCTGACCAGGGGTTGAACCCAGGCCCCCTGCATTGGGAGCATGGAATTCTTAGCCACTAGGCCACCTGGGAAGTCAGTGCCTCGCTATTTAATTCTGCACCTGCCCCACCCCCTTTCCTCAGACACCTCGACATGATTTGCCTAGATGGACTTCTCTTTTCATAGTACTGGTTATCTTCTAACACAACAGAAAATTAACTCAGATACTGCACCCGCCTTTCCTGCCAGAAGGTGAACTCCAGGATGGTATGGATCCTTATCTATAGATACTGATGCATCCCAAGTATCTAGAACAGGACCAGATACATACTAGGTGATCAGTGAGTATTTACTGAATGCATGAATCACCTATGGGAGGTGTGGGCAGACATATTCCCTGTGCTCACAGCGTTGACGGCACGTGGGGTGGGGTGGGATGGGGAAAACAGACAAGGCAGAAGGGAGGTAAGAGCCCGCAGACAGTGGCTCCAGCCATTCCTCCAGCCTGACCTCCCATCCCTCCACCCTCACACACAACAGCCCAGCTGTTTTCAATGCCTTCAACTCTTCAAATGCCTTCCCACCCCAGGACCTTTTCGTATACTGTGGTCCACGCTCAGGCCATTCTTCCTGCCTTTGTTTAGTAATTCCTACACTGTTCTCAAGTCTTACCTTAGAGCCATTATTACTGTGTCTCAGAACTTGGTACTCAGTCCCCTATAAAAATACAAGTCTCAGTATACATTTCTTTTTTTAAAAAATACTGTTGTTATCCCACTCCACAGATGAGAAAGCTGAAAAGCCCAGAAAGGTTACAGTTTTTGCCCAAGGACCCACAACCAATAACTCTTTGTTGAAGTAATAAACATATTGATTAGAAAATGACAGTGGAATCTGAAAACAGTGACTTTGAAGGCTTCTGGCACTTTCCTATGGAAAAATTTGTCCTGAGGTGACTGTGGGCTGCCTCCAGTCACAAGATCAAGCCATGCTCCCTTCACCACGCCTTCCCTCACTGAGGTTTAGAGATCCGTTTGTTCAGTACAACTCTTATTTATTTATTTGGCTGCATCGTGTCTTAGTTGCAGCATGTGGGATCTTTCGTTGCAGGACACGAACTTTCTAGTTGTGGCACAAAAGCTCAGTAGTTGTGTTGCATGAGTTTAGTTGATCCCCGGCATATGGGATCTTAGTTGCCTGACCAGTGATCAAACCCATGTCCCCTGCATTGTGAGGCAAATTCTTAGCCACTGGACCACCAGGGATATCCTTAACACAACTCTTATCCAAAGCAGAAACTTACTCCGTAATGCTCGTCTCTGCTAACGTACCTCCTCCACTGGGGAACTCAATACTACAAAACAAAAAAGTTCTTTCTTTCAAAAGATATAAACAGACAATTCACAAAAGAGATACAAATGTGCAAAACAATCCATAAAGATGTGTCTGACCTTATTAATTACAGAAGAAATACAATACAGTAAGGAGGTAGATTTAGATTCTCAGTTTAACAGAAGTGAAAATTGATATCAACTTTCTGGAGGGCAGTTTAGCTACAAATATCAAAACTTGCTGGCATTTACCCCGAAGAAAGAGTATCACAAGTGTGTTTGTGACACTTCTGTTTATATTTCAAAATTCTGGAAATAAATGTCCTCCAATATAGAACTGGTTAGATAAACAGTGGGACAGCTATAGAGAGGAACAGCATATAGTAGTAAAAAAATAATACAATACAGGGATTCCTGAAAGAGAAAGTCACTCAGTTGTATCTGACTCTTTGTGACCCCATTGACTATATGGTCCATGGAATTCTCCAGGCCAGAATACTGGAGTGGGTAGCCTTTCCCTTCTCCAGGGGATCTTCCCGACCCAGGGATCGAACCCAGGTCTCCCGCATTGCAGTCAGATTCTTTACCAGCTGAGCCACCAGTGAAGCCCAAGAATACTGGAGCAGGTAGCCTATCCCTTCTCCAGGGGATCGTCTCGATCCAGGAATCAAACCTCCTGCATTGCAGGTGAATTCTTTACCTGCTGAGCTACCAGGGAAGCCCAGGCAAACTCTTACTTTCAGTATGTGGGATCTAGTTCCTTGACCAGGAATCGAACCCAGGCCCCCTGCATTGAGAGCGCAGAGTCTTAGCCACTGGACCACCAGGGAAGTCCTATTTGTCCTTTGCTTTGGTTGCCCCAGCATGTTGCAGATCACTACAGCTCCTGAAAGCTGTANCCCCGTCCCTGGGATTCTCCAGGCAAGAACACTGGAGTGGGTTGCCATTTCCTTCTCCAATGCATGAAAGTGAAAAGTGACAGTGAAGTCGCTCAGTCGTGTCCGACTCTTGGCGACCCCATGGACTGCAGCCTAGCAGGCTCCTCCATCCATGGGAGTTTCCAGGCAAGAGTACTGGAGTGGGGTGCCGTTACCTTCTCCGTCCATACACACGACTATACATAAAACAGATAACTAATAAGGACCTACTGTCTGGCACAGCGGAGCCTACTCAATACTCTGCAACGGCCTACATGGGAAAAGAGTCTAAAAAAGAGTGGACACACGTATTTGTGTAACAGATTCAGTCTGCTGTACGCCTGAAACTAACACAATACTGTAAACCAATTATACCCCAATTAAAAAAATGTGCCTCTTCTGTGCGCTTTGGATTGGCCAAAAAATTTGTTTAGGTTTTCCCACAACATCTTACAAGAAAACCCAAACTAAAGTTTTGGCCAACCCGCGTGCGAAGATAGTGTTTGGAAAGAACACACACCAAGGTGTTAACAGTGGTGGGTTAGACTGCTGTTCCTTTTCCCTTTTTGTTCTCCACTCTGCATATTTCTATTCTACGGGTTTTCTTTATCTACTTACTTCTCATAAAGGGGAAAGAGGGCATTAGATTTTTAAAAAGAAGTTCTTCCCTGGTCTTTCCTCCAGTGGCTGAGAGTACGGCTGCCAGCACAGGGGATGCGGGTTTGACCCCTGGTGCAGGAAGACTCCCCGTGCAGCAGGGCCCCTCAGCGGGCACCCCGCAACCACTGCAGGCCCGGCACCCAAGAGCCCGCACGCCTCGGGAATAGAAGCCACTGCGACGAGAAGCCCGCACACCAAACCGCAGAGTGGCCCCCGCTCACCGCAACTAGGGAAAGCCCAGGTGCTGCAACGAAAACCCAGCGCAGCCAAAGACAAGTAAATACATTTTAAAGAAGCTCTTCCTGAAATCAAGCCCAAGCTGTGCAATGGCGTCAATGACAGTACACAAAGAGCTACACGCTGCTACATAGTGGCTCATTTTGTTACAAAATTATACATACATATCTCACTACGTAGGCTTTATATGTATATGTATGTATTGATATATTAATAGACACACACACACAGAGCACAACACATGGCCTACTTTTTGTCCCTTCTTCATATCTCCATCTATACATTCCAACCCTTCAAGGTCCTTCAATGTTGTTATGAGAGGGATATATGGAAGTAGTTATTAAACACAGACTTTGAAGTCAGAATTCCAAATTGCCCACAAATGTGTAATTTCAGTTAAAATCACTTTCTTTAAATTTAAGGCAGGACACTATAAGCTCTTAGAGGAAAACATAGGCAGAACACTGGCATAAATCACAGCAATACTTTTTGGATCTATCTCCTAGAATAATGAAAATAAAACAAAAATTTAAAAATTGCACCTCCTTAAATTCAAAGTCTTCTGCACAGCAAAGGAAACCATTCACAAAACGAAAAGACAGCTGACACAATGGGAGAAAACACTTACAAATGAAGTAACCAACAAGGAATCATGACAAAAAACACACAACCCAATCAAAAAACGGGCAGAAGCTCTAAACTGACATTTCCCCAAAGAAGACGTATAGATGGCCAAAAAGCACATAAAAAGATGTTCAACATCACTAATTACCAGAGAAATGCAAATCAAAATTATAATGATGTATCACTTCACACTGGTCAGAATGGCCATCATCAAAAAGTCTACAAACAATAAATGCTGGAGAGGGTGTGGAGAAAAGGGAACCGTCCTACACTGCTGGTGGAAATGTAAATTGGTATAGCCACCATGGAGAACAGTATGGAGGTTCCTTAAAACACTAAAACCAGAGCTATCATACGACCCAGCAGTTGCACTCCTATGCATATACCTGGAGACAACTAGAATTCAAAAGGATGCACGCAGCTCAATGTTGACTGCAGCACTATTTACAATAGCCAAGACATGGAAGCCTCTTAAATATCCATTGACAGGGGAATGAATAAAGAAATGGTAGGGCTTCCCTGGTGGCTCAGTGGTAAAGAATCCGCCTGCCAATGCAGGAGACACTGGTTCGATCCCTGATTCGGGAAGAGCCCACGTGCCACAGCTATTTTGCCTGTGCTCCAGGGTCCAGGAGCTGCATCTACTGAAGCTCATGCGCCCTAGAGCCTATGCTCCACAGCAAGAGAAGCCACCACAAGGAGAAACCCGAGCACGGAAGCTAGAGAGCAGCCCCCGCTCAACACAACCAGAGAAAAGCCTGCACAGCCACAAAGACCCAGCACAGCCAAAAATACATAAATAAAAATTATTTTAAAATGATAATCTTAAAAAAGTGGTAAATACACACAGTGGAGTATTACTCAACCATGAAAAAGACTGAAATAATGCCATCTGCATGGATTGCATGGGTGACCTGAAAATCATCATACTAAGTGAACCATGAACTTTCAGATGTTCAAGCTGGTTTTCGAAAAGGCAGAGGAACCTGAAATCAAATTGCCAACATCCG